AAAAAAAAAAAAAAAAAAAGGATTTCCTGTAGTTTCAGCCATGCTCAATTATGTTGGAATAAATGTAAAGTAGGTACTTTACTCTGGAGAGATTATTAAAATCACACCCAATTCTCTGCCTTAGACAATTAGGGCCAATTTATATTCAGCGAAATCCGAAAGAGAACATGCACATCAGATTAACATAATGATGGAACGGTGGAGAGATTTGTAGCTAAACAGCCTCTTCTGGACAGATTAGCATTTTTTACATCCTGAAACAGAAACACCATGTTTTAATGGAAGAAAATGAAATAGTTTGTTCTTTAAATATAACCAAAAATGAATAAAGCCGTGTAAATGGGAGAGAACATGGTAGAATTCCTACTTTGAGAAATGAATTAAGGATAAAATGAAGAGGCAGGACAGAGTAAGACGACCAATTCAATTGAACATGATGTCTTTAGAGTCTTAATAAGAAAATCGACTGTAAAAAACTCCATCACAAATAAATTATATGCAGTATTATTTGGTGAATGTAAAAATAAATAAATAAAAATGCAGGAATGATTTGCTCGACAATAAACAGAACATGGTGTAAAATAAGTCCCTCGTTTTGGCACAGTTACGCAGCATACTTTCCAGCAGAGATAAAATTTGAATTGGCATGCATCCGAGCTTGTTGCCTGATATCTGGGGTGGGATGTTCTCCAGTTCTGGCAGCGGCTGGTCCACTGACACCTCAGAGGACATGAAAGCACAGCATGTCCATGAATGTTGGATCCTCGAGACTCATCCGGCCCTACATGAAATATTCTGCAACTCCTGATGTTTTCATTTTAAAATCTGCGCAATAGTAAATTGTTGTTTAGTGAAATTTGTGCAGCAAAACAGGTGATATACAGCAGCTTTAGAAGAGTTTTAAATTCTGTGGGGGATATTTACTGAAGTATTTGAAATAGCATGTGTGCATTGATGCTGTCTGCCCACAGTTAAACGATGTGAAGGCCCACATGCTCACACTGAAAATGTTCGATGCAGGAGTCTGTCACATATTCTTGTGGTACCCTACATTTGTGGGGTACCACAAATTTTGATTAAGTTTAAGCTTCAATCAATGTTTGTTTGTTTATCTCTGAATGAATCGGTTAAATAAATGCATCACATTTATTGTCTCATACATATCATGGCCTGGAGTTTTACCTTTATGACTAAAATAGCCACAGAAGGAAAAAAAAAATAGTGAAAAATATGAATCCAGTGCAGCAATAAGGCAAACAGTGGAAGCAAAACAACTGCAAGAAATGGAGGACATTGCAACGTGTGTTGAATTCCTGTTAGTGTAATCCTAACGGGTTACGTAGATCTTTTCAGAAAGACGTTAAAATATATATTTTGCACTCACGAAGAAGGCAAAGCCCTGAGATGAGTGATGGGTGTGTAATTTCCCCCCCACCCCCCCGCCGCCCCAGGCCTTAAGCCATGTAAACAAAGAGATGGATTCGAGGTTTATTAAGGATTTGTTTCACACTCGTGTATGCAACACCAGGAAATTTCCTTCACCGTGATTACTTTGGGCACCTAATGAGCTGGTGAAATATTCTGGTGATAATGATTTCCTTGGGTGTATCCCTATGATTATGAGGTATGTGTAGAGAACATTTTGGTGTTGAACACGATGAACAACATGAAAAGATAAGAAGAGATTTAAATCAGCAAATGCAGTTTTTAAAGCAATTTAGTAATTATCTAAATAACTGACTTTTAAAAGTAGGAAATGTGTGACCTTTCTGTGCAAGCGACATGTTGGGTTCATATTTGTCCACCAGCAGCTGAACTTGCTCTGGTTTGAGCGGAGGGTAGAGGATCTCGTTCAGACGAGGGTCTCGCTGCTTGCTGTTAATGAACTCTGTCATCTGCTCCACTGTGAGGTACGGCCGACTTTTTGCTCCACTGTGGACAGGAAGTCATCAAGAAATGTTACAAAAAGTTGTGCTTGGGCAAAATGCAACAAAAAAAAAAGAATTAAAAAAAAATAGAGATGTGAGCAAAGGACAAAAGGGAACATCATGAAGGGCAGGAGCAGCTATAGCAAAGACAAAAGGTGCTTATATCTTGATTAAATTGTTATTCATATCTAAGAGTGTGAAAGTACTTTGTGTTCCCCGTCTCCTTCTGTCTCCTTCTGTCTCCTGTCCCCTCACTCTTAGGGGCAATTAAAACCTAGATTAAGTGACACTGTTATACTGGTTCATCTCATGCTCTGACTAACTCAAGGTTAAGGGTCAACTCACAGTCCTCAGCCTAACAGTAAGCCTTAAATTGTAAGACACTCCCGGCTTGGGACTGGTTGTACGTATTTCATTTAGTAAAATAATGAAACACATGTTTTATTAATGTATGAATATTGGTAAAAAGAAATGTCTAAGATATTCAATTATTAAAATGAAGTGAGTAGGAAGGTAAGAATACAATAATAGAAGATCATTTATGCAGATATAAGCCCTTTAAAGCCTGATAAATAATTGGCAGAAAATGTATTATTGGATGTTTTCCTGCTTTGCATCCTAAGTGATACTAAAGGCTTCTTTGGTCATCTACTGTAGCTATCATAAGCAAAGCTAACTTTTTTTTTGTGTGTAAAGAAATAGCAACATATCCTTAATATAACAGGATTTACAGAGTAACTTTGACAAAAACTGAGATCTCAAAAACATGGATAACAAATTAAACATTCGGTATTGATTGATAAAGATTTTTTTTTCCTCAACTGTGAATTAGAAACAATAAAGTTCTTACACTTCAGAGAAGATGTTGTCCAGCTCTGGTCGAGAGCAGATGTTACTCAGGAACATGCTGTAAACCTCTGGAGTGAAATCCTCCTGGGGGATGGAGTCATTCTGCAGACGACAGCAGCAGCAGGGTCACATGAATGACATGCACATGTCGTTGAAGGTTAGTTTTCATAGAAAGACCAGCAGATGTTTATTTAAAATAATCTGGATTTTCTAAGAATTCATGATGCCGTAAAAAGCAGAAAACAGGTTTTCTGAGCCTTAGGAAACGAAACATGCATCACTGATCACTAAGAGCAGCCATGAGTTGCTTTTCACATTTTCTTTCTACTCCTGATCCACCTGAAGTGTTTGTGGCCTCTGTTTTAATCTGTTTTCTTATCTGACTAAAGCACACAAACTCCGTAAAAGTGCCAGAAGAGTCCAGCCAGTTCACGTTTACATTGGTGATAGTAGTAGAGGCTTTAGTTTTGCCTGTTATCACTGCCGAAAAACCAATTGGCATTAGATAGCGTCTAGTGGTAGTAATGGCGAGCATGTTTGAACATTCAGTGAATTATTTACACAGCCAATCGGCAGCAAGGAAAATGAATGGCGCTCCTAGATTGGCTGCTTTATAAACATAATTTGAATTTACGCTTCACAGAAAAAAATGGGTAAATCCCTGAATACTAAACTGTGAATAGTCAGGGGTCCACTGAAGTGCTAATAGTAAAAGGCAACAGGGAAATAGATGAGTTATTAAAAGACACTAATATCTGCTTCAAACTGAAACTCCTCAAAAGAGAGGGGAGGTGGAGAAAATTCAAGAACTCCCGTTCTTCGAACTGGAGCAACTCCCGTTCCAAGTTGGGAAACCAGTGGATTTTAATACATTTATAAACAAATGTGTTAGAAATGTATACTGAAATGTATATGTACAATTCAGCCATGTTGGATTTTTAGGTCAGGGTTGGTAAGAGAACAAACAAATCTTAAATTGTCTTTCTTGGAATTTCAAGCTGTAGGAAGCTTTCGGTCAATTCTTCTCAGTCAAGCAATGTCAATGAAAAAAAATGTTTTTCTTTTATACTCTGTTTGTTTTGTGATGAAAACAAAAGTCTTGTTCCAATTCTGTATTGAAATGTCTGAACATGGACGTACCTTACTTGGAAACTTTCCAGAATGGCTGCTACACACAACTAAAATCCTTTTAACATCTACTACATAATGTCTGTTTTTTATTTTTGCTTGAAGTCCATTGAGTAATAAAGAAAAACTTTCAAACAGAACAAATCCTCCGTGTGCCGATCGTCAACCGCCTCCGCAAATGAATGAGTACATTCTATATGAGTCATGCTGTGTGGACGTGCCAGCTACTTACTGTACTGTTTAAATAAAATTCTTGCGTCCAACTCCCTGATGTGTCTGCGGGAAATGCTGATCTCTTACTCATCCATTCAATTTTTCTTTAGAGGATCATCTCCACGTGGTCACAGCTTTGAGAATTCAAAACATCAACAGAACCGCTTCCAGTTTGCACCCACAGAGCGGGCGCCTTACCGAGCTATCGCAGCCGAGCAGGTACGATAAAGACGGAGTGCGCTCGGCTCTGTCTGTTGGCAGGCGTGCCAACAGGAACCGGAGCAGAACCAGAGGGTATTAGGAAAGAGTGGGAGAGGAGAGAAGATGCACAGAGAGAGGGGGTGGAGGTCAAGCCTTGCTAAAACTCACTGAGTCATTCAGGAGACCTTGGTGTGAACCATGTTGTGAACGCACCCCTGCCTGTCGGGGGTGTGTGTGTTTGAGGGATTAACAGCGATACCATTTAGCTGTAATTACTTGCGCTGTGGAATAACAGCAAATCCCAGTAGACCTGCACTCAGCAAAACACTCCCCCCCCACCCCGTCTTGATGCCGTTCATTGTGCTAATTATGTATAGCTTTTGGTGTGTGGGTGCGTGTCTGAGTGTACGTGCTTTTGTTTTCACTTTACATTCAGAAGCCAATTATTACAGCCTTAGAGTCTGCTCTCCTGTGTGTCCATATGTTTCTGCATGTGTTCAGAACTTCATTAAACAGCATTTTGCCACTTTCAAGCACTAAAAATTGCTCGCTGCTGCACCGTTGGAGGGCAGAGCTGGTGCTGTGGGACGGCTTGCATGAGAGGGCAGCTTTTGTCGTGCGAAGTCTGAAAACGGGTGGAAAGAAAGCGGCTTTTGTCATCTTTATTGCTCCCGCTGGGTCCATTTGTTGCATTACAACGATCGGTTTAAGAAAGTATGACTCCAAACAAATGAGCGACGCAACAATCGGTTACTGTTTCGGGAGAAAATGGGCTAAATAGTGACAGACTGGTAAATGAGGAGGAGAAGATTAAAGAGCGTGTGGCTAAAAACAAGCAGGAGGGGACATAGAGAAGAAGCTACACACAGATTCGTGTGACAGAGGAAATACGTGGACCCAGTCATTAAAAAAAGAGGAAACTCGTGTATTTTGCCGTCTTACTCTGCCAGCAGGGAGGTTGCAGTTTTCCAGTGCTGTCTCCACTCGCTTCCTGTCTGCTGAGAACATCCTGAAGATACTGCAGGCGGACAGAAACAGCCTCTTATGAGTAAAAACAGAAAGTGTCACGCTGACAGAGAGGCTTCCTCTCTGATCAGCTGCATGTCAAATCCCAACACTTTCAACCAATGCTCATTCAGGACATCCTTCGAGAGACTCCCATTGTCCTGCGGGGAGCTTCCACTGCAAGAATAAGTCACAATAAAAAACAAACAAACTAGAGAGTAGAAAAAAAATATAAATAAAGATAAGCAAAGAGAAATAAAAATTCCAATGAGAGTCTGCAAACTGGAGGGGAAAAAGCGGGGCACAGATAACGCTTGAATAAAAAATGCAGAAGAAGATGTAGAAGAATATGAGAGGAAGGAGAATAAGAAAAGCTGTGAGCTTTCCTGAGTGCAGCCTTGCAGTAAAGTTGTTATTTTTGTTACCGATTCAGTTTTTACCCCACTAGGGAAAGGGGTGTACAGAAAATGGATGGATGGATTCAGTTTTTGAAGCATAAGAGAAATTTCACCAAGCTGCTCTTTAAAAGGCATTTAGTAGATCTCCAGCACATATAGCAGATTGAAGACTACTGCCATTTCAATTCAAGATCTCACGAATTACACACATCTTACTGTCAAAAACAACTCTGAACAAAGACTTAAAATGTTTGTTACTGATGTTATAATAGCACAGTGACCAACTTGTAACACCAATAATGAGAAATTAACTAATAAGTAACTACAGTGAATCAGCTCTTCAGAAATGTTCCTGATCAAAACAAAAATAACGATGAATGACCTCCTGCTGGTAGAGTTTATATATCGGAGGGATATAGCCACATTTTCTTTAGCGGACGGGGGGCAAATGATAGCGCTTTGAAAAAAAAAAAAGATTAGAAAATTGCTAGAAATTGCATATACCCACTACAGACTTTGTATTGCCTTGTTGCTGAAAATGTCCTATATATTTACTTTTACAGACATATTTTTATTTTTCCACAACACAACAAGCATCACACACAAACAGAGATAATAAAAAATAACATTTCCTAATTCATTTATCTCTCTAACAGCACATATCAGCCATCTGTGACTGAATTAGTTTTCATCAACGCTGTTGAGTTCTTGCCTTCAGTTTCTTTCACACAGACAATAAATATGATTTACCGCAGTGAAGTCTGGTCCATTACAGGTGGCACATGAGTGTTTAGACATGTTTTCATATGCCATAGTGTGTTTTATTTATTGTTTGATGTATGCCTGTGCAGATCTATGAGGACACGCTGCATGCTCAGTGGGAGAGCACTGTCAAGCTGACATTACTCAAGCAGACATGCTTCCCCAGCCAGGAGGTTAATTCCCTAAACGGTGAGGAGTGTGTCGCTGGCTCTGTGTTTTGACACCCGCCGCTTTTCCACGGTGGCTCTGAGGGAGGTTATCACAGAAGTTCACCGTTGCTGCCTGAGAGCTCGACTTGAGTAATGGCAATGGAGGGAGTTCGTTTTTCAACGAGCTGATGACAAAGTCACAGACGAATGAAACTGACCGGACAGACACAAAAGATTTGTTTCCCGCACCCAAAATTGTGGTTGTGTGAATCTAGAAGATAATATGAGTTGCGTTAAAATATCAGGAAGTATCGCAACGGAAAAGGATAGGGATAATATAGTCCAATATATGCAGGCATCCACAGTAAGGCTGTGGATGTTGAAGTGCACTAATGCCCAGAGTAAGGTGCAGAGGCAGAGCAAGCTACAGTGTGCACTGATCAAAAGAGCTGAAAGGTGCCAGGGGAGAGGAGGATGAGTCAGAAAGACTTACTTCTTGACAGGAATTCGTCCCTCCGGGTTGAGCTGCAGCTTCAGTCGAGTGTATCTGCAACGGACAGAGAACACGTTTCAAAACCAGTTGCAAAAGCAGTTTCTCTGTGTGAAATTTCTGCACTGGTGTGTTGTCTTTCACTGTGTGCTTGTTTTGTCACCAAGTGGTTTGACAGCGTGTTTTTAGCTTGATGTGCAGTGGAGCTTTCCATCAGACACGGTTAGATTTGGGTCTAATCTGACCAAAGAATCTTCTTCAATGTTCAAAAAACATACTCTACAAACACCGTTTGTGTGCACATACAAGCTCTTCTATCAGCACAGCCCCCAGTGAGTGCACTTTGCATGCCATGAATGTCTGCCTATGTTTACACTGCAGGTTTGAAACGTGGTTAATTCCTGGAAGTCTCAAGAGTTGGCAGTGCAGAGCAGTGCAGCGGCAGCAGCCACGCGGGGCAGAGTAACCTGGGCTATAAATAGCTCAGCAGCAACAGGAGCTATCATTACAGGTCGGGCTTTAAGTGGCTGCTGGCTAATAATTAATATCCATTATAGTGTCCACATCTTAGAGCAGACTGGCTGCCTGAGGGAAAGTCACAGATGCCTTTAATGGTTAATAAGGGACAGACTTGTTTTCTCATGCATTTTTTTCTAGAAAAAAAAAAAAACAGGAACAAAAACGTCAACTGAGAATAAACTTTATCCAAATAGCTAGAAATGGCTGGCATAAGAGGAGAAACAACAGAGACAACTAAATAAAACAGGAGGAAAATATTTATATGTATAGTTCAAGTTTCCTCGTGACTGTCCAGTTTTCATCAGATGTGATCCAACATGCCACTCACGATGTGATTCAGTCGTTCTCTTTGTGCTGTTCAGAGCACAAAAAGAAATTGAAGGAAACTCTCATTTAAAAATCTGCTGGATCCTGCAGTTTCCTGCTGCTTGTAACATGTCTTAGTCCCACTATTAAAAAGACAACCTCTCACAACCTTGAGAGCTGGAGAGGATTGACCACATGCAGAGAAACATCAACATCATTTCAGGGATAAAGCCTCCACATGCTGAAGGAGTGGGAGTAAAAACTATTGCCCGATTTGTAAGCAAGCGGTGCACAACAGCCGCTGCTGTGAGCAGCCGTCGTGACTGCAAAAGCCGCTCTCCTCAATTTTATTCAACTCTCTCCATGCTATGTGGTCGATGGCCACCTTTATTGTCTCATAAGTCAATTAGCCTCCTCAGGGGTGCCAGTTAATGGCTTCCTTTCGCTGATAAACATCTGACAGCAGGGAGATGTCACCAAACACAGCTCTGCGTATTTTGCTAAAAGCCGTGCCTCACATTTATGTTTAAGCTCACTTTGCATGAACATCGCTCAGTCTCGCACCATGCACATAAATCAGTGTGAGTGAGTGTGTGTGTGTGTGTGTCTCGCGGAGACAACCGTGATGTAGTGAGCCGTTTGACACAAATAATCTGCAAACATTGGTCGGTGTGGGGATAACTGATTATGAGTCTGTCGTACTGGAGGCGCAAACATTTACAAGGTCGAGTGGTTATTTTTCTACCATTTCAACTTCAAACTAAAGCCCAGATGCTCCACAATATTTATTGCGTGTGTTTTATGCACATGGTGTTTTATTGTCGCCTTCCTGTCTGGTGACTATGTGATAAATAACTTTCAGAAGTTTTAACAAAAAAAGAAAAAAGAAAAAACTAACTAGAGTCATGCTGCATAAATTATTGTGATGTAATATAGATAATGGGGGGAGGGGATCACAATAAATAAGGTCTGAGAATAATGACGATGGAATAGATAGAAAAATAATGTAAATTAAATATTTTTTTCAACAATAAACTAAGTGAAAACTTCACTCAAAACCAAAATGGGTTAGGGTTACTCAATAAGAAGTGTATTGTTGAAAGAAAACTTTAAGAAGAAAACTTAACCACAAGTCATATAGAGGACACAGCAAACAGGTGGTAAGAAGAAGCTCTGTGTCGCCTACAAATACATGCCGCAATTTCCAGATTTTTATTTGGAAATTGCTTTGAAAACGACGTTTCTCTTTCCTTCCACATCAGAATTGTACAATAAATTGTATGTGTGGCTGTACAGTAACAAAACATGTAAATGTTCAATTGATATGAAAACTTTTACGACGCATTTTACGCAAGTAATAAAAATGCAAGCGTAAAGACCGTGTAAATACTATATACTCTTCTCCACTGCACAGCTCATAACTTCAGTGGCATTAGAAATGTCTGGCATCTTTGTGGCACCAGAAAACCTAATTTTCATGTCTGTATTGGGAGACACAAGCTTTTACATTTTCTCTGAGGCATGCTTGCGGATTCAAATGACATACGCTTTCTCAAGGCAGGCCTCTCGGGACATGTTCTGTGCCAAAAGGTTCGACGCCAGGCTGAATAATTCCTCTGCCCATTCCTGCAGAGAGTAAACCAACAACACATCACGTTAGCATATTTGTATCTCGTAATTTTGCTGTTTCTTCAGTCATTTCATTTGAAAAAAAAAAATAGCAACCTTTGCAATCTCCTCTTGAAAGGCCATGAAGTTCAGGTAGGTGATGTTGACCATGTCAGTGCCGCTAACCACAGTCAGCATCCTGTTCTCCAACTTCCCTGGCAGTGTGCTGACGTCCAGCAGTTCACGCAGCTTTGCATCCTTTGGAGAACAAACACACAAGGAAGCAGAAAAAAAATTGTTACAAAGACTTAAGAGAAAAAAGAAAACCAAATCAATGTTTTAAGGTGTAAAATGCATTTTTATTATCATATAT